GCTTGATCACCAATGCCACAAAGAAAGAAAATGAGGGTAAATCCAAAATTATGAGTCGCAATTAGAACAGGAATAGACGGTAACTCTAACGGATCTCCTCTAACTTCCTGTTGAGTCTTCAGAGCAGAAAATGATCACTAATGAATCACTAATAATAACTAATGACAAAAAAAAAAACAATTACAGTGGTTTTATTTATTTTCTACTCTATCCAAAATGAAAAAACATTTGGTTTTACATACACATTATATTGCCAAAAGTATTGGGACGACTGTCTTTGCACGCACATGAATTTTAATGGCATCCCAGTCTTAGTCCGTAGGGTTTAATATTGAGTTGGCCCCGCCCTTTGCAGCTATAACAGCTTCAGCTCTTCTGGGAAGGCTGTCCACAAGGTTTAGGAGTGTGTCTATGGGAATGTTTGACTATTTGTGAGGTCAGGTCAGGCACTGATATCAGACGAGAAGGTCTCCGCTCTAATTCATATTCTATTCTGTTCTATTGGGTTGAGGTCAGTCAAGTTCCTCCACCCCAAACTCACTCATCCATGTCTTTATGGACCTTGCTTTGTGCATTGGTGCGCAGTCATGTTGAAACAGGAATGAGCCATCCCCAAACTGTTCCCACAAAGTTGGAGCATGAAATTGTCTAAAATGTCTTGGTATGCTGACGTCTTAAGAGTTCCCTTCACTGGAACTAAGGGGCCAAGCCCAACCCCTGAAAAACAACCCCACACCATAATCCCCCCTCCACCAAACTTTACACTTGGCAAAATGCAGTCAGGCAAGTACCATTATCCTGGCAATCGCAAAAGCCAGACACGTCCATCAGATTGCCAGACAGAGAAGTGTAATTGGTCACTCCAGAGAACACATCTCCACTGCTCTAGAGTCCAGTGGTGGCGTGCTTTACACCACTGCATCCGACGCTTTGCATTGCAGTTGGTGATGTAAGGCTTGGATGCAGCTGCTTGGCCATGGAAACCCATTCCAAACCCATTCCATGATGTAGTATTGTTGTGCTAATCTGAGGGCCACATGAAATTTAGAGATCTTTAGCTATTAACTCTGCAGACAGTTGGTGACTTCTGTGCACTATGCGCTTCAGCATGCACTGACCCCGTTCTGCCATTTTACGTGGCCTTGGCCATTTTATGAGTTGCTGTTGTTCCCAGTTGCTTCCACTTTCATATAATCCCACTTACAGTTGTACATGCTTGAATTCACGGAGCTCCTGAGAGCGACCCATTTTTTCACAAATGTTTGTAGAAGCAGTCTGCATGCCTAGGTGTTTGATTTTATACACCTGTGGCCATGGAGGTGAATGGAACACCTGAATCCAATGATTTGGAAGCCTGGCCCAATACTTTTGGCAATATAGTGTACTTTAAGATACTGCAGGTGATACACCAGTGTAAAATGGGACAATACATTGTACAGAGCAGGTAAGTATAACATGTTTGTTATTTTAAGGGAAAAAAAAGACCTTTTGGAACTGCTGTATAACCGCTTGCTGACCTGCTGCAGTACATTTACTGCGACATGTTTGCTTGCACAGGCACAATCATGTACCTGTACATCACAGCTTTCTTCCGGGAAGACTGTGCTGTCATTCTCTGCAGCACAAGCTGATCAGCGGGTCCCAGCCAATGATTTATGTCCGGGACCCACTGATTGGCTCAACAGAAGAGAGAAGAGAGCCCTGTGTTGGTAACTAACACAGAGCTCTATTAAGACAGCAGTGATGTGCCTAGGGAGTAAAAACTGGGACATTGCTAAGAAAAACACCACACAGTAAACACACTAAACATTGTTAGGCACACATTTAACCCCTTGATCACCCTAGATGTTAATCCCTTCCCAGCTATTGTCATTAGTACAGCGACCGTGTATAATTTTAGCACTGATCACTATATTAGTGTCACTGGAGATGTCAAAGGCAGTCAGTCAGTTCCCCCCAGCATCATTTAGTGTAAGATTGCCCACCCACTATAAGTCACTGATCACCATCATTACTAGTATAAAAAAAATAAATAAAAATTCCAGCACATATACCATAGTTTGTAGATGCTGTAGAAAGTATAACTTTCATGCAAACTAATCAATATACACTTATTGGGATTTTTTTATTTTTACCAAAGACATGTAGCAGAATACATTTTGGCCTAAATTTATGAAGAAAGTTGTTTATGATTTTTTTTATTTTTTTTATTGGATATGTTTTATAGCAGAAAGTAGAAAGTATTTATTTCTAAAGTTTGGGTCTTTTTTAGTTTATATTAGTTTATATTGCTAAAAATAAAAAAACTCAGTGATGACCAAATGCCATCAAAAGAAACCTCTATTTGTGTGAAATTTTTTTTATATAAAGCTTGTTTGTGTACAGCAATGCATGATGTACAATTGCCAGTTAAACTATCACAGTGCCGAACAGCAAAAAATGGTCCGGTCATGAAGGGGGTAAAATCTTCTGGAGCTGATTAAAGCTGGAAAGTATTTATTTCCAATTTTATAAACCTTCCTAAAATGCACATGTCATTGTGTCATCTTCCAAATATTGTTCATAAGGCGTTTAAGAAGAGCATCAAAACAGCATGACATTTTTGGTATTTATGCTTTTACTTAGACCAGAGCAGTTAATATACAATAAATAAAAACATTTAGGTCTCACATTTTATATTTCTCGTGGCTTCCACACCTTACTGATGACCTGGCTCAGATCAGAGCTATGTATATCCAGCACAAGCTTCAACATTTACTTGAGGCTCTCCTACATGAACCATTTTTTTCAACATAACTGTCCTTTAATCTTCCACACTTTTTCAAACATTCTTCTTGACATTTTTCAGGGTTCTGCTATGTGTATCTGTAGATGCCATGAGGAATGTCACACAATTCAGCCAGGAATTAGAGCCCAGCTTACATTACCTGTATATCTCATGCTAGATCAAAGGAGGTTGCTCTGTTTTCTACAATTCAAAGAATTTTGCACTGCTCTCGCTTAGATATTATATTGTGTTACATATTTCTCGAATCGTATAAACCAAGCTTATCCTCACATATACAAGACTTGGGATGAAAGGAAAAGAATGCATAGAAATTAGATACATTTTACTTACAAATAAATCATAATTATAATGTGTTTACAGAGAGGAGTGAACCAAGTCCAGAGAAAACTAATTCTAACCAAACTAAGCCCGGATATCTGAAGATAATCTTAGCATTTGCTTGATCTACTTTGATTTTTCTAAGCTTATTTAAAATACAAAAAATATCATTTTCCTCCCAAAACCAACTCTATAATAAAGTGGGTGGCAGGTGTGACAGGCAGCGGTTTGAATGTCAATCAGCTCCTGAAGATAAATGTCTTGTGTTGAGGAACAGGTAGGTTCCACTGTCATTTTTTCTGTGAACCAGTACAAGAACCCTTTGGAAATATAGACCACCTCTAATAAATTGATTAAAAATAAAATGTTAAAGTAATATTAAAGGCAATATTAAAAATAATTAACAAACATGTTATACGTACTTGCTCTGTGCAGTAATTTTGCACAGAACAGCCCCAATCCTCCTCTTCTTGTGTTCCCTGCCAGTCCTCCTTGCCCCTCCCTACTACCAAGTGGATGCAGCTTGCTATGGGAGCTGCTGCCCTGTGTGTCCATTCCATTCAAACAGAGCTGTGGCTTGGTCCCCCCCCTCCTCATTGGCTCACTGGCTGTGAAAAAATGCATGGTGGTAAAAAACCTTGAACCTTTACAACTACTTGAAAGCCCAACTCCAGAAACTTTAGAACCATCCTTTGTAGTGGGGCTGTGTGTGTACTGCAAGGGTAAATTGCTTGTTTTGTCTAGGGGAGGGGGAAGCACTTTACCTTACCTGATCCCCCATTTCCCTGGCAGATAATGCTCCCTAATGCTCTGGCAGTGGACTGTCAACAAGTGTCATCACGTCCATTTTAGGCTTAAGGACCCTGCATTGTTCTTGATGATGTCACCACCCTTGACTGCTGGATCATGGGGGAGAAGAAGCTGTGGGGACCAATCTGTCAGAAAGAAGGAGTGGAGGATTGTATAAGTAAATTTACTTTTCTTTGCTCCCAAAATGAGAAAGCAACCCTTGCAGTACGGGTGCAGCCCCTCTGAATGGGATAAAGTTTCTTGGCGTTATACAGGTACATAGTTTTTTCTGGTTAAAAAAAAAAGACACAAATCCATCCAGTTCAACCAACAGAAAAAAAGCAACACACACAAACAGATAACCACCATATACACAATCCTATACCCACAGCTGATCCAAAGGAAGGCAAAAAAAAAAACCCAATAATGATCCAATTTGCTCCAGTGGGGGGAAAAATTCCTTCCTGATCTCCCAAGAGGCAATCAGATATTCCCTGCATCAATTTTACCTATAAATGTTAGTATCCAGTAATACAATTCTAAATAATTAATAGCAACTCTTTATTAATTACTTGCTTTACCATGCACTTATACCCCCTTCCTTACATCCAGGCCAATTTTCAGCTTTCAGCGCTGCCGCACTTTGATTGACAATTGCGCGGGTGATCATTTTTTTCTCACAAATAGAGCTTTCTTTTGGTGGTATTTATTCGCCACTGGGCGCTTTACTTTTTGCGCTAAAAATTAAAAAAAGTGCAAAAAATTTGAAAAAAAAAAAAAGTTTATTTGTTTCTTTTATAAAATTTTTCAAACAGGTATTTTTTCTCCTTCACTTTGCGTTGATCAGGTTCAATTTCTTAGGCAGCACTAAAGCTGATACAGTACTAATACAGGCGGCACTGATAGACAGCACTAATTATAGGCGGCACTGATATGCAGCAATACTGATAGGTCCCTGATGATGTACTGATAGACGGCACTGACTGGCATCACTTTGGGCACTGACTGGCGGCACTGACTGGCACAACCCCTGGGCACTGACTGGTGGCACTGACTTGCTGGGCTGCACTGGTGGGTGGCACTGGTGGGCAGCACTGGTGGGTGGGCACAGGTGGGTGGCACTGGTGGGCACAGGTGGGTGGCACTGGTGGGTGGGCACAGGTGGGTGGGCACAGGTGGGGCACTGCTGGGCACATGTAGGTGGCACTTCTGGGCACAGGTAGGTGGCACTGCAGAATGGCACAGGTGGGGGCACTGCTGGGCAAGGTGGGGGCACTGCTGGGCACAGGTGGGGGCACTGCTGGGAATGGGTGGGCGGGGCTAGTGGGCGCACTGCTCGGAACTTGCGGGTGTCACTGCTGGGCACCGATCATCAGGGCACTGATCAGTGGATGATCGGTGCCGATCCCCGCTCTGACAACTGCCGGTTTGTACTTTCCTCACGATCTGACAGCGTGAGGAAAGGCACCAGAGAACCGGCACTTGCATTTCCCTGTGATCAGCGTGTCATTGGACACCGCTGATCACGTGGTAAAAGGCCGGTGGGATCGGCCTTTCACCACATCACGTGATCAGCTGTGTCCGTAGGACACAGCGATCACGGAGATCGCGGGTGCGCGCCCCCTGGGGCGCGCAGGAGAGCGCGTGCTGGGAGGACGTCATATGACGTCCACTCAGAACTGGCCGGGCCGCGGTGAAGCCGTCATTCGGTTGCTCAATGAACACTAAGTTTACATCAGCTAAATACATTTCAGGTACAGAAAAAAAGGTGTTCAGTCTCTTTCAGTTCAATTTCTTTCTAAAGCAACTACAGCCTGAGTAGAAAAGCCAATAATGTCCCCTGCCAGCAGATGCAAGGTGGGAACTTTGTTCTCTGTGGGGAGGTAGTTGCTTCATTGCAGAGGTTTGACACGCCACCTACTGGGTTGGACCAATAGCTCTGCAATCAGCAATGCTCATGCTCCCCACTGATTGGAGAGCTCTGGCTTTGATTCAGCATGGTGGACCTCTGCAGAGAGGCCATTGCTTTTCCACCGAGAGCAAGAGTCCCACTCTGCAGCTGCTAGCAGGGGAAAGGCTCTTCTACTATGGCTGCTTTCTGAAGAAAACAAACTGTAAGACTTTGCACACCTTTGTTTTGATGCATCTGGAATGTGGCTAGCTGATTGAAACTGAAGGCTCAATTTAATGCCTTAATAATGATTACAGTGCTGCAATAATTTGGGTCTTTTATATGTTTAGCAGACATGTGCAATTTGGTTTGTTACGAATTGAAATGTGGAAATTTTCATTATTTGGAGATTTGGATGTATAGTTGTGCTCAAAAGTTTGCATACCCTGGGTTTTTCTTTGAACAATTCGAACAATTCTTCTGTCAGTTATGGCTGCAATCTTTCTTGGTCTACCTGACCTTGGCTTAGTATCAAGAGATCCCTGAACTTTCCGCTACTTAATAGGTGATTTAACAGTACTGATTGGCATATTCAAGGCTTTGGACATCTTTTTATGTCCTTTTACATCTTTATAAAGTTCCATTACCTTGTTACGCAGGACTTTTGACAGTTCTTTTCTGATCCCCATGGCTCAGTATCTAGCCTACTCAGTGCATCTACGTAAGAGCTAACAAACTCATTGACTATTTATACACTGACACTAATTGCAATTTAAAAAGGCACAGATGTGGGACATTAACCTCTAATTGGCATTTTAACCCGTGAGTGTCACCTTGTGTGTCTGTACCAAGGCCAAACATTCCAGGGTATGTAAACATTTGATCATGGCCATTTGGGTGATTTCTATTATCATTATGATTTAAAAAGGAGCCAAACAACTATATGATAAGAAATGGCTTCATACGATCATCATCCTTCAATAACAGAGCATTTTTTGGCATGATCAGTCATATTTTCAATATCAATGCCAAAATTTCACAATTTCTGCCAGGGTATGTAAAGTTTTGAGAACAACTGTATATGAATCTCTAAATCACAGTAGTAATGAATTTCAACAAATCTGAAATAAATGATAATGAAAACAAGTTCATTTGTATTCATTTGTTTCATTTGGATGACATGATGCGATAGTTTGGGCCTTTTGTTAATGTTTAAAGCGTCCAAAATAGCGGCATCATTTATGATCCGAATTGATTCAGATCCATTCGTTTTTTTTTTCTCCAGTGAGCATACCATGAATATTCTAGTAATCAGCTGATTCTTTTTGCATAAGCATTTTTCATTATTATAAAAAATGTATATATATCAAATCATATTGTAATAAATACAGTAAGGTAGAAAAGTGAACTTTAGCCAGCCATAGATGGAGCAATTTTCTTTCCAGCATCCACGGGTCACAGTCATGTGATGGGGGAATCCCCCCTCAGAGCTATTGTGTTCTCATGGAGGGGGAGAGCTGTCCCCACCGGGAGAGCACAGTGATTGCTGCTAATGGCTATAATTACCACCAGCAATAATTGCATGTAAAATCCAACAGACTGGTTACAATATACCCAAGTTGATCGATCAATGAACTTGGCTACATTCAGCCTGGCCATGCATGGTTCGAATCTCGGTTGGCCCCTGATGAACCAGTCAAGGTTTGAGCTGTCTATGTCCAGCTTAAGATGATGATTCCTACGTATTATGTTTGGGTTGGATGAAGGTAGATCCATCAGAATCCTTGAATCATAACACAGCGAACGACTCCAAAATGAATTTTGTTCCATTCCTTATTTTCAGATGCATACGACTCCATACGATATCATCCAATCAGCTCATTCTATTTCTCTTTGTGAAATATAAAATAAGTATGCAGCGCTAAATAAATAATATAAAATCAGGTAAAGAATCAGATAGATCAGAAATTGCATAATATCATATTTCAGCAACTCAGTCCATACATAGTGGTACAGCAAAGTGATTATGTGCAAGTGTTCATGAATCCGCAATAGAAGGATAACCCTGACTCTTGTGCTCTTGAGAGTGTACAAACATTGCACTAACCAGATAGCGCATTAGCTGCGCGTGGAGCAATTAAGACCTGCTCCTGGTGCTCTGGACTTGTAATACCAGGAGATGTCATCGGCGTGTAGGCCACTAGATGTCATCAGTCTAGGTGTACTCTTAAACCTTCCACCATGCCAATCACCAGCGGGGGAGGGAGAGGTCACACACCAATCCAGGTCATCAGGAACCTTCAAAAGTGGGCTCCCATGGAAATGATGAGCCCAGAGAAAGCTTCCAATAGTGTAGTAGGTCTTTAATTCACAAAATTCCAACATAAACAGAATAAAAACAAAACTTACATCCGGATCTGATATGGCCACCAAGGTGTAAATCAGGATGGCCTTGCGGTATATGTACAAAGGTCAGGGGCACCTCCCTAACGCGTTTCATGTGATAATACTTCCTCAGAGGGAGTTGGACTAGCAGGGATGACTTAGAGTGTATAAGTAATCTCCCAAAATAACGAATTACACGTTAAAATGAATATTGCCAATTCTCCTAAAATACAAATCTATTCAAGACAACTAATTTACTAAACAAATCTGAATATACAAACTGAATTCTGAGAACAAATCATTCTAACATAACGATTATGATGAAACAAAGTTATCTATTTAACAAACAAATCTGAAACTAAACTAATTTTTAGTCCTGCACATCAACAGAGTTTAGATATAAAATAGAATGTTAAAGCGGAGTTCCAGTCACACTGTGAAAAAAGAAAACAGTTTTTGTAGCTGCTGACTTTTAAAAAACAACCACTCACCTGTCCCACAATCTTGTGGTGTCCTCCCTGCAGCCCGTTTCACCAGCTGTCTGGTGTTCCAGGCGCTGGTGTCTTCAGTGTGGGCACCCGGCTGTGACAGCTTGCGGCTTTACAGCCGGGTGCCCACTGCGCATGCGTGAGTTGAGCTGCGCTTTCTGAATGGCCCCGTAGGACCTGTCATGTGTCTCAGAAGACTACAGGGAGGGAGGGAAGGAGGACAACTTCCGCTTCTGATCTCCTTGGGAGATCGCAGTGGATATGGGAGCGGGTACCTGTAAATTTTGGGTACCCACTCCCCAAAGATACCAATCCTTAATGGGGAGTGGGGGACCAGTCTTTAATGTGTAACTTCCCCTTTTGGGTGGAGCTCCACTTTAAGAAAGACTTGGGCCTGGCAGTCATGGTATCATGAGGAATCCTCCACCCCAAACCCATGCCTAAACATGCTACCCTACTGCAAGACTGCAATGGGGGAGTATCAGGCAGACAAATAATTTTTTTGAAAATTATCAGGGGCGCGGGGTCAGTAGGGGGCCCCATGAGATGCCCCTGGTACCTTTTTCATAGGCTTTTTTGAGTTTGGGCAAGGACATAGGGGCCCCATGATCCCCTATTGCCCGGGGGCCCCATGAGTTGTCAGTCCACCCCTGATCAGGGGTATTTATTATTGGAGTATGACTACCTCAGGCATACCTTTGCCGTGTCTACAGAGAGACTCAAAATGGGTGGAGTTGGGAATCAATCTGCTGCCAAATTACTTAACTGAGATTAGGTGTTCCCAGACCACCAGGACACTCTGTGACCAGATGACTTTACACTTTTGGATGACATGGATGTGCATTCAAACAAACAAAAACAGATGATATTTGTTCCCTATATGTATTTCCAAGATAAATGTACAATGTTGACCAAATTGTACATTTAAAAATATTGTTACTTCTTTTAGGACCAATGTGGGTCCAGGGAAGTGTGCCCTTTTTTTTAATATTTTTTTTCTTTAGTCTTTTAGCCAATGTGATCTTTAGTCTTTTTTCAGACTCTCTTATTTTTTCTGTGAAAGTGAATCTCCACCTCACCCCATCCCGATTTACATAAAGCTCTCTATGGTTTGCATTCATGGTAAAATCTTTTCATTATTAACCTCTGCTGAAAGAATAATACAATTTCATTGGGGCAGATCAATAAAACCTTTGACTATTTATGACAGTTCACAAAAACGTTGAAAGGAAATAACCCTTTCTGACGAGTTACAGAGGGAATTTTCCAGGCAAGCAGATGGACTGCATATTATCATAGAAAATTACCTAGAGCTCTGTCTATTTTCTTGCAGATTCCTGTGCTGGTCTTCTAGGAACTTACGTGATTCCCCTGGTGACAGTGACAGAGTAAGAAATAAAAAAAAGTTGTGATTCGAGGTGAATTTATTGATGTATTTTCAATGTTATAGCTGAACTCCCAGCAAGCAGCTAAATACACATAAATGGAACTTTATTACCTGTCAAGGGATTTGTGTGTCCATCCAGTTCTGAGATTTACACAGCTCTAGTACAAATAATGGCACTGTCTGGCAGGGCAGAAGACTTTCTTTTTCTCTCCTGCAATTAAGTAACACATACAAGTAGGGATTGAGCCAAATTGCCCTGGGTTTGGTTCAAGAATTGTTCCATGAACTTCAAAGAAGGTGGGATGCCGAACACCAACCCCATTGAAATCAATAGGAGTTTTTAACTATCAAATGAAAAATGGCAATTTTCTGCACTAATAGGAAAGGGGGTTGTCCTGAGAAATATGTAAAAAAATTCCTTTCAGCCAAG